GCCATTCAGAGTGGCCAGATACGCGATTTTCTACGGGTCATACACACTTTCTTCGCATACGTCTGGTAGCGGGTGCATTTAACGAGGCCCTCTTTCAGCACACAGCGATCTGAAGATCAATTCTCGTGATAAAAGTTCGGTCACAATTCAGTTCCGATCTCACAACTGTCATAAAAGGTATTTTCGTAGTAAAGCATGAAATATTGCCTGTTATGTCATTATATAATTGAAACGGAAAATTGAATCGGTAATCTGCTAGTCTAAATAATACTTTTACGAGTATGATACTTTGACATTTACTTTTATAAAATTTCTTTTATGATATTTGCGATATCGAGGGTTGATCGAAACTGAATTCGAACTTTTATTACGAGAACTAGCCTTCTACACTTGACTGCCCGCACCAGTTCGAATACTCATAGAGTTGTTCTTCTCTTTTAAACATCAAACTCAAACCTCTTTATTTTTTAAATTGTTTGAAATCGTCTTTTATGTAGACTCTAAAGTCATAGATCAACACACATAAAAGCAACAATCTCTGTTTTGTTAAATAGTAAGCAAATAAATTTAACTACTATTATCTCTTCGCTCATTCTTTCAATATACCCAAACCATAGCAACATTTCCTTCCCAATTCTTATTATTACATCTTCTTTCAATACACACCGTTTTCTTGCTTCATCATTCCTCACAAGAGAAGTTATACAAAAAGTAGGAGATGTAATAAAAGAAAACTTAAATATAAAAATTAAACAGCAAAAGCGACTTTGGAATTTATTAAAATGTATGCTAGCATTACATTTAAAGTGGTAATTTGAATGTATTTGATTTATGGAGGTTTCTTTTGCCTGTGTCTTCCTTCCCTGATTAATATCGCATTCGAGATCTCGTGCGGTATACTTACATGGTTTTCTGAAATATTAAAAGAATAATGCGTGTTATTATTGACGCACGTTAGTTAACAGCCATAAAATGAACAAGGCTTTAATATCTCGATGTTTCAACAGAAAAATATGATATGGTAGTCGGATATGTTGTTAATTTTTATTTATAACTTTACAGGGTACTCACAAAATTAAATATCAGCACCCTGTAAAATTTACAGGGTACTCATAAATGTGAGTACACTATAAAGTACTCTGGAAAGTAATATTGAATAGTCATAAATGAAATCCTTTATGACCATTCAGTATATTCAGGACGTAGGGCAAGACAGTGATTATTGCTACAAAGCAGCGAAGGATTTTATAAAAAAAAATATATTAAAATCTAGTAATACAGAGCTAAACATAAATCAATACAAATATACATTTACAAATTTAATAATTTTAATAGAATCTTTATCAGGTTGTCACACATTCTTTTTCTGGTGGTGTCTAGAATAGCAACAGATAAAATTCTGCTACTATATAAACCATCATTTGATTTAAAAAATTCTATGTAAGTATAACATTTTCGATATTTTTATTCTTACTATCGGCAGTCACTTGTTTTGACTTCGTGACAACCAGGGATTATTAATATTTACTTATTTATTGATTTATTAAAAGCACTTCAGATTATCGAATCACAAGATTATCACAAAGTTAATGTCACTTACTGCTTTGGGAATTTTGTATAACCTGAAAAATGAATACTAATTTTATCTCAAATATATGTATATATTATTAGCTTTGCCTGCGGCTCCGTCCGCAGGTAAAGCTAATAATATATACATATATTTGCCTATGTAAAAAGTTGCCTATGTCACTCGCTGTTAATGCAGTTATCCATTGGTGAAAGAATTTAAAAACAATGTTTAATGATTTAGGCGTGAAAGTGTAGCAAACCAACAACTTTCACATTTATAATTTAAGTATGGAAGTAAAGATTATACGATGTAATAAATTCTGTTCCTGAATGAATACAAAGTAATTTGGAATACTTAAATTGTTTAGATTGAGGAAGTTTATAAAGTACTTCCAAATTTTGAGATAATACATTTTGATCAAAACATTATGTTCTGAATTTGAAGGTTCATATACTGTAGTATACCGAACTCGTTGGAATGTTAAAAATGCTTGCTTAAATTCAATTAAAACCTATTAAAATTAGATCTAGTGATATTTTCATAAGTATAGATTGTGTAATTTCAATTAATCTCAACTTTTATTGATATTTTCTTACTAATTGATGTTAAAATTGTAACTGTTTAATCTTTGTAAAATTTGCATTCCTAATCCGAGGCGGAACACTTTGTACTGTATGTATGATTAACCTAAGAACTTTGATTACTGTTCCCGCAAATAAATTACTATTCTGTTTAATCAGTTAATTTCACGGATAATTTTATGACACAAATATTCTAAAATCAATGTTTTGAATTATATTGTGCAAATTTGGTTAATTTTTTATATCATTATTCTTTTGTTTCTCGGTTAGGAGACAAAATTGCATTAAATAACTTACATTAACTTCATGCGTCGCTTTTTCTTGTCACGCCTTTCGTCTCTTATTAAATGGGTAACCTTTACATCATCATTTTGATTCATTTCCTGCAGAAAAGTTATTTAGTTTATTTTTATTTATTAAAGGATTAGTAGGATTTAATGCCTAAGGCTTTCTCTATTAGTCAACCAATTGAACGGTGGTCAACCAAAAAGTACTGTAAAAAGTATAGAAGTACTGAATTTAAGATAAATTAAATTAATCAAATAATAATTAATTAATAATTTATTTTAATTGTCCCTTCCATAAGGAACATGTAGTATAGATTATTAATCTTGAATTATGTATGTATTATTAATATAAATTTAAGGAAGTATTAATCCACTTCGGCAGCTTATATAAATTTATACAGTGTTTATAGGATATAATGGTGTGCATATTGGCCTGTTTCTTTGTAGAAAATCATATTTTTCAAAAACACAAAATAAATAGTTCAAAAAACTATTCGGTAATTATCGGACAAACTAAGGGAGCGAATCACGCAGGACAACAGCACTGCAAACAAAAAAAAAAACTTGAAACAAACCCTATACCCACCCATCTGGCCGCCGCGGCGTAGTATATAATAGTAGGCCAAAACCTCCTTTCTAAGGAGAGGCTTATATCCAACAGTGGACTATAAAAGTCTGTTGATGATCATGATGATTGATGATCGAAGAAACTTGAGAAATTGTGGGAATAACCAACGTATTGGCATATAGCCTTTTTGTAATGATATTAATAATATTATTACTAATCCATATTATAAAAATAAGTCGATACCTCTTTGTTATTCGAGCGTGTTACCAATATGATAAGTCTGAAAAATCAAATTAAATTTTAATAGAAAGGAGAATAACCTCTTGTTTATGAAATATAAATTGCAGCGGTGAATGTATCTTAAAGATTTCAATAAAGAAATTAATTGCATTTTATGCCTAGTTAAATAAATGATCAAAAATCATGGTTCAAAATTGCAAAGGGATATATCTATTACATTATGCATAATGATTGTGTAGGAGTGTAGGAGGATCTTTTAGGGTATTTACAAGACCTGGTATTTGTAACATTAACAGTAACTTTTTACGGTTTGTATGTAAAATATGTATATATTTATAAAACTACAAATCAATCTAGATTTAATAGTACAAGCTTTGCTTAGTTTAAAACCAGATGGCTTTGTGTTTTAGATGTTCGGCAATATTATGTTATTATTATTAAACTACGCAAGATAACAGCACTGCCAACAGAAGGAAAACTTGAAACAAAGCCTAGACCAACAAGTCTGGGCAGCGTGGTATAGTAGGCCAAAATCCCCTTTCTAAGAAAAGGACTCTGTCCAATGAAAAGCTGTTGATGACGATGATGATGAACTTTAACTATGGAGAGTCATTTGAAAATGATGTAACAGCCTCACAAAAACTGGTTTTAGGTAATCCTTTCGTTGTATTTCACCAAGGGATTAAGCGGCGGCAACATTCAAAGGGCGCCAATGCACTTGGCTGCTCTAGTCACTTACCATCAGATAAGCCCATGAAAAACTGTGTTACTCAAATGAAATCAGATTACTTACAGAGATCTCGGTACTTTCGTTGGTATCTGTAGAAAAAAAATATTGAATAAATATATATTCAAAACGTGGGAACCTTGTTTAAATGGTTAACGAGTGGTTTCCATATATAAATTTACAATTAAATAATAAAATAAAAATTAATAATGAAATGAAATGATAATGAAATGATTTAATTTATAATGAAATAGTTAATTAATTTATAGATATGTAGATTATGTAAAGTTATTGTGGGTTAATGTTGTTATAGGAATATAGAATTAATGTTTCTCATCTTTCTTATGCATCTTACTTTCGTTATTTTACATTTTGTAAAAATGATATAACTAACCACAAGACCATTGGCATTTCTACGAAATCCTGTATATAAAACTCTTTCATTTGTACCAGCATAACTGAAAGAAAAGAATATTTAAAAAAATGACATGTCTTCTACTGCAGATGTCTGATCAAGGAACCTGTAATAATCATATAGATTTAATAAAAAATAATTGTACATACACAAGTTAGTAGTTAGTTATAATTAGTATGCTTGACGCTAATTTAAAAAAACATTTTCTTATTTTATGCTTTTTGATAAATTAGCTTAATTTTGTAAAGAGATGTGTACAAATCGTATTTGGAATCGTCAGTAGGTGTCGTGCTGTGTTCCAAAGGGGTCTGTTTACAGACCACATCTGTGGAACATGGGTCACTCAAAAAGTAGTAAACTCTTTGTTGGTGTTTTGGTAGTCGCTTCAACTTTTAAGTTTTTCTTTCTTACAGTGTTTGCACAGTTTAGTTTAGTTTTACTGAAAAGTAATTTCTTCAGGTTTCAAGTAAACGTAAATGCACAATTTAGCTTACAAATTATCAGTTCATTAAAAAGGTTGTGTTAAAATTATGACGTAAATGAAGTAAAAACATTAATACTGAAAACGATGACATTTTTTTTGTCGAATTCGAGAAAACAATTCAAATTTGCTTACGTTATGCCCAAGTTGTTTATATTTCCATAAACACCGGCGCCTCCTTCCCAGTCCCTGTGAGGGAACTTAACAGCGGACTTGAGCATACCCAGTGCAGGTCGGATCAATGTGTGACCTGGTAAAAGCGGCTCAGCTTCGGGTAAATGGCTTGGTAAGCCTGGCGCACCCAGTATGAGTGAGTTTTGTCCTTGATTAAATGCATTGTATCTTCTCTGAAAGTTAGTGTTAAGTAAACTATTTAACGTTTTGAAGGTTCGATTTGAGTATGTAACCAATTTAAAAAATAACGATGATTAAAATCTAAGCGCAGCTAGTTTTAATAAATTAAACAAAATAAAAAAACAATAGAATTGAATCATCCTCTTGTTTGTGAATTTGATTTTCATATCTGCATCCTCATTCATTCTGTAGAATTATATAATTGCCTAAGACTTGACTATAGTCACTCGCAGGAATGTGTGTATGTGTGTGTGTGAAAATATTATTCACATAATAATAATTTAGGTACTTAAAAGACTTACAAAATTAGAAAATTCGGCCGGGTAACCCACGTTTTGCATCTTAACTTTCTGTAAATAATTTTTTTAAAGGTTTCTCATATTTTTAATTTATACAGAAATATGCTTTAGGGTTATCTAACGATGGGATGTTAAAAATGCTTGCTTAAATTTAATTAAAACCTATTAAATTTAGAGTTAAACCCAACTACGTATAAGCTACTGAAATTTCAGTACAAATTAAAAGATTGCTCCACTTCTAAAATAACATCCTGATAACAACCAGGAGACTGCAAGGTATGATTACTGAGCTCACTCGAAGCGAAAGTTTTCAACTATTATTATACAGCCAGTATAATTTAAACCGTCATTGTTTCGACTTTATCTACAACACGCTTCTACGCTTCTTCTACGAATAAGTTTTGAATATTCCAAGTTTTAAATTCAAATAGATATTTGAATTTTATTTTATTTTATGTGAAATTTGCTTTTAAAGAAATCCAGTAGGATTTCTCTACTATTGAACTCTCGTTACTCGTGACGTCGTATCTCCCAGTACCTTTTTTTTTAACGTGTGGAAACCCCCTCGGGCCGTCACCCAACCGGGGTTTGCGGCGGGGTGGTGTGTCGGAATCGGACAGACTAAAAGCAGACGGTGTGCCACTCTGTGCCAGTAATAGAAGGGATCCAGGAACTGCTGTTATTAAGACTTCCGGACTTCTCCTAGCATCTGACCGCAACGTCGTGGGCACTACCTTCGCGTACATTTTTTACTTAGGCAACGTTCGGCGCCTCCTCGCGGCTGGCCGTTATGGCGGGTGGAGGGAAAACCACGTCCCGTCATCCCGCAGCCGCATTAATTGCAGCATGAGGCGTTGGTAAGTGCGCCTCCGCCGCCCGGTTCGTCAGCGGCGAATCGGTTCCGAGTGGAGATCATCCTCCCGCCACCTCCTTCTGCGAGATGTCGTCTTCGCAGAAGGATGAGACCGCGGTAAAACAGCTGTCACTACCGGCCATGGAGCGCATGACGGCCGGTAGTGAGAGATCCCCTCCAATAACTGCAATGAGGACCCGACGCTGCGACGCCCAAGCCATGGTGCGTAATTTGCCAGCGTGTACTGAGCCAAATCCTCACTGCAATCGCAGTGGTGACAGGCGAAACTCAATTCCCTCCTAGTGACCGACCACAGGTACTTCCCGAAGCAGCCTTGCTCGGTAAGAAACTGCGTCAGTCGGAACGAAAGGGTCCCGTGCTGCCGCAGTGCCTACTCGATGATGACCTGTTTTAACGCCGCCACGGTGGCAAAATCAGCACATAGAGCCCCCAGCCGGGACGACCAACGAGCCATAGTGGCTCGATGAGCGGCCTCACGCCACTTGCTTACTTCTTCGGGCGGGGGCCGACTGCCGCTAACCGCCCGGAACTCAGTCGTCTGCCGATATACTTCGGCGAGCACTTCCGCCTCCAAATCCCACGGGGGAATCCCGGCCAATGTGCATGCCGCCTCCGTCGATACGGTGTGGTAGCCGCGTATGGCTCTAACCGCCAATACCTTCTAAAGCGCCTGAGGCGTGCCCTATTCGGGGCGGTCAGAGACGCTGCCCACGCTGGTGCACCGTACATTGCCATTGACCGGACAACCCCCGTGTACAGCCATCTCGTCGCGATGCGGGGCAGACCCAGATTAGGCAAAAGACGCAGCACTAACAGCAGAATTGAAGCAAGCTATCGGAAGTGCTCGTCAAAGAGCTACCTCGAGAATCAGGCCCCAGGTAATTTACCTGGGCCTGAACCGGTACGACCTGGTACTGACCTGGAGTGAGTTGCTACGATTGAGGCGCCAGGGGGAGGACCACGATGGGGCCGTGGAATAAGAAGGTCTCCGTCTTCTCCAGGGCCATCCGCAAACCCAACGCCTCAATGCGCTCGACCACCAGAGAGACTCCCCTGGTGGCTAGATCCACCGCCTCTTGAAAGTTTGCCCCCCCGAGCCGTGACCAAATGGTCATCGGCGTAACGCAGCAAATTACACGCAGCCCGGGGAAATTCAGCGCGAAGTGCCAAGTCGTGCCCTATGGTCCACAGGAGTGGTCCAAGGACAGACCCCTGCGGAACACCGCACGACTTACCCCGATTTCTCAAAACACCATCTCGGTCCTGGTACATTACAGTACGCTCATCTAAGTAGTCTGACACTAGCTGCCTCAGGTACCCTGGCACCCCATGATAGAGGAGTGCTTCCCTGATACAGCTAAACGGCGGATTGTCAAATGCGTTGGCAATATCCAACAACACCACCAACAGCACACCGCCACAGCTCACCGCGTCTTCGGTCACGGCCCTCAGGCACTGACAGTCGAACGAATGGCTCGGAAGCTGAATTGGGCTCCCGACATATCAGGACTGACTTCGCGCAAGTGCCGGACGATGTGGTCAGAGAGGACCCAATTAATTCTGAAACAATTTACCCTTCTCGTACAGCGGTACGATGCGCCGTAGGCCTCGACCGAATCGGCAGGCCGTTCCGGCTTCTTCAAGAGTACCAACTTCCCGCTCTTCCAGCACTCAGGGATGCGTCCAGCTGCCAAACTAGCTTTGAAGACCTCCCCAAAGCGGTCTGTCGTGTGATTGAGGGCCAGGGCTAGCACTCGGGCAGGGATCTCGTCTGGTTCGGGGTGATTTTCTTGGAACGGATCCGTAGAACAGTCGCCCCTATCTTCGAATCTGTCACTGGTGGAATACCGTCCTCCTGGTTCACCCCGTCGTCTCCGTTCAAGGAGGCCATCGACGGAGATGTGTGCTCCGCCCGTTGCGGGAAAAGGCCCTCAACCACTTCCTGCAGAAAGTTGGGAAGGAGAGTCTCGGTAAAGGGGGGGGGGGGATAGGAGCGACGCGCGGAGCTTTTGTTGCAGCGCGGTGACCCCGCCTGCGACGCGACTGCGGTTGTAAGACCTCCGGGCACGAGTACAGGCCGCGCGGAGGTCCGGCAACTCCTGGGTACTGTTTTTACCTAGCGCAGGGATTCTAACTGTAAATGTCTATATGTAATCACCGATCTACCGCCAACTCTTAACAGGCACCTTTTTGTAATTTCAATATCATAATTTATTTTTATTTTTATGAAAGATCTAGTGTATAATTTTCAGCAGCAGCTGTAAAACTCAAAAGCTCATAAAAAGAACTTGTTTTTTGTGGGTTAAAGAGTCACTTTTTAGGCACAGTAACAGTTATCAAACATGTGAGCAAGGATGTGAAAAGAGACGGAACCCGAACCTCATCCTCTCACATACAGAAATAATTTCGTTTTCGTAAAGATCTAACTACGCATATACACATATAAAAGATAATACAATTTATATTACCGCTATGTGTTCGAGTTGTTCCCTTATACTGGCTCCACTGCAGTCCAAAATGTTCTACAAACGAAAATTATATGTAGGTCAGAAATATAGCTTTGACTTTTTGTACATTAACATCCTCGGACGAGTCAGATGGCCACTTGGTACTTGCGTTTACGTTGTGGTTTCTATTCTACGTATAATAATTATTATATTATAAATATATATTTCAGATTTACTGTTATTATCTATTACTCGTCTTAAAAGGTCAATTTTCCAACTTTCACCACTTTGAAGATCTTTCTTTATCTTCTGGAGTAGAAGGGTACGATATCTCTGTTACGGTGTATTACGATTTCTGTTAATCCTACGACATTTATTCTAAAAAAAAAACTTACAAGTGATATCAAAAAACCGATAACGTAATCCATTGTGCATGCTCCTGTATTTGATATATCAAAAAAAAGCGTTATTCAGATTGATTGCCGTGAAACACCATTGTCATTAAAAATAATTTATTATCAGAATAAAGCTTGACTGAAATAATCATGATTTTTAATGTTCCGTACCCAAATGCTACAGGCAGAACCAAAATGTTACGGTCAGGTACAACAGTATTTATTAGACTATGTTCAGATAACGAAATGGTTCTCGTTATACGTGCGTTGTAACAGTGTAATTCGAGGTAGTTTTCATTAAAAATGGGCATGAAAATTGAAAGTTATAAAAAATCTCCATCAATTCGAGTCTATTTCTTGCCATTGCCATCATGTTACTTCTTTTTTTTTTCAATTCTAAATAAATGTCAGGTCAATGTGTAATATTGCAAAGCTTTTAATTTTGTTTTTGTGGGAAAATAACTGTTATGTTTCTTCAATGCAAACGTAGGATATTCAGACTAGACTGTATGATGTTGCCTCGTGAACCGTGATCCAATAATTGATGTTTGTTTTGATTACCCTGTTCAGGATTAGTAATTACTCCATCCTTGAGTATGTCTTTATTAGATCGTATAGCAGTTTGTCTAGAACCTACGTGAAAGTATATAAGTATTCTATCAGTCAATCTAACTTTCATGATACAAGCCCGACTAAGTTTGAAACTAGATGGCGTTGTGGCCAGATGTTCAATTTATTTATTTATTTAATAGCCTTCTATAGTTTCTTTAATAGTCTACCACCTGGCTGGCACCAACACTCCTTGGTAATATTATTGTAGATGCAATGAAAGAAGAAAGTAAATTCAGGTAACAAAAATAAAGGGTGTCTCAGTAAGAGTGCACTTTTTAAATTTGGAATCTTTTTTTTTTCGTGCAAGTGGCAACTCTGAAATTTTACAGCTGTCACCTATGTTTATTCCGATGATTAAAAATGAAGCGGTTTTCGAAAGAATAATGCGATATAATTGTGAAAACTCATTACTAAAATGGGGAAAGTTACGATGAAACCGCTCGCAAACTTCGCCAAATTTTCAGTCGAGAAAGTGCACCTAATGTGTAAACCGTTCCATTTCATTGTAAACCAACCTTTGAAGAAATCGGCTTGATTATCGATATTAAGAATCCTTTGTCAACGTACCGGTCGGTCTCTTGAAAACATTGCTACTGTAAACGAGAGTGTTGCCGAAAACCCAATCAACATCTACGAATTTTGACCTTTGTGCGTACAAAATTTAGCTAACTCGGGCGCTCAAACCAGCAGACCATGGAAAGCGCCTGCAATTTG